AAATTTTGGGGTTGGCAAAATAAAGAAGTGTCATGTGAGTGGTGTAAAGTGATATAGGAATTCAGAAGAGGGAGAAATCACTTCCAGTCGGGGAGGGGGAAGGCTTTATGGAGGTAGTGATATTTGATCTAGGCCTTTAAGGATGGATAGTTTAGATGGAAATTGGTTGGAAAGACTGGATGAATAGTATAGTTGGAGGTTGGATGGAGATTGGCTATGATGGAAATGATATGAAGATGTAGAAGTGAGAATATGTGTAAGGCACATTAGGCCAAAGCAAGGCAAATAGGCCACTTTGTTGGAGCCTACACTTGGTGTAGGAAATAGAAGTTGGAGAAGATAGGTCTATAAAGGTAGGGTGGAGCCAGATTAGGGGAGATTTGAATGCTAAACCCATTTGAATGGGTTCAGAGGCAATGAAGTGAAGACCTGAACTCTGCTGTGTTAGATGACAGTATGTATATATACACAAAACCACACCAATTCTTACATACCTCTTCCCTCTATTGGCTCATTTCCTTAATATTTTTCTACCTGGGTTCTAAGGAAATCAGGAGGTATGTTCTGGTGTTTCCTTTTGAATTAATGAAAATGTAAAATCTCTCATTAATTAATTAGTTCTGAGTACCCACCTTAGTTTATAAATAGACAATTATTTTCTCATTAACTCCCCCCCCTCCCCTTGCTGTCATAGACTTAACAGTATTGCTGCTCATATAATTTATTACAATAGCAAATAACAATACAAAGACACGATTAAGTATGTATATCCAGGGGGTAAAGTTTACAGCCAGAATCACCTCTATGCTCTTAAAAATCAGAGGAAAGAGATCTGAAATTGAATATTCTTACTAATGCTGCCAAACTAACTCCTCTGGAAATAGTCCTGTAAGGATATTCATTCAGCTTTAAGGAAATCTCCATAACATTTCACTTCATAAAGTGAGAATTAAATTCTTCTTGTCCTCTCAGTCTCTTCCCAGATGACTGTCTATGCTGGTAAACTCCCTCAATTCCAATCTCTCACATAGATAGTTAAATCCCTTTAATTTCAGTCTCTCACAAGATGTCAGCTAACTCTTGATCCTCTCATAGACTTTCACAGATGACAGTTAACTCTGTCTTTTTTTTTCTGGGGAAATGGCAGTTTAATCTTATTTTTCTCACAATATTCCACCATTGCATTTAACTGTGAATTCCCTCATATTTTTACCTTTTCCCCCCTTTTAATAGTATTTTGTTTTTTCCCCAATTACATGTAAAGATCATTTTTTTAACATTCTCCTTTTACATAAAATTTTGAGTTCCAAATATTTTTCCCCTCTCCCTTCCCTTCTCCCTCCCTAAGATGGTAAACAATTTGATATAGGTTATATATGTGTAATAATGTAAAACATGTCCATATTAGTCATGTTGTGAAAGAAGAAACAGAATAAAAGAAAAAACACACACAAAAAAGAAAGAGAGTGAAAATATTATGCTTCAATCTGTATTCAGACTCCACCAGTCCTTTCTCTGGATGTGTATTTTCCATCATGAGTCTTTTGGACTTGTCTTGGATCATTATATTGTTGAGAAGAGCTAAGTCGATCATAGTTGATCATCACACAAAGTCACTGTTGTTGTGTACAATGTTCTCCTGGTTCTGCTCACTTCACTTTGCATCAGTGAATCTTTCCAGGTTTTTCTGAAATACACCTGCTCGTCATTTCTTATAGCACAGTAGTATTGCATTACATTCATATACCACAATTTGTTTAGCCATTCCCCAATTGAGGGGCATTCCCTCCATTTCCAATTCTTTGCCACCACAAAAAGAGTTAACTATAAATATTTTTATACATGTAGGTCTTTTCCCCTTTTTTATGATCTCTTTGGGATACAGACCTAGTGGTGGTATTGTTGGATCAAAGTTTGATTACTCTTTGAATATAGTTCCAAGTTGTTTTCCAGAATGATTGGATCAGTTCACAACTCCACCAACAGTGCATTAGTAACCCAATTTTCTCACATTTTTTGCAACTTTTATCACTTTTGTTTTCTGTCATATTAGCCAATCTGATAGATATAGGTTCTTTTCATTTGCATTTCTTTAATCAGTGATGATTTAGAGTATTTCTTCATGTGACTATAAATAACTTTGTTTTCTTCCTCTGAAAACTGCTTGTTCATATCTTTCAAACCATTTGTCAGTTGACTTGTATTCTTAAAACGTTGATTCAGTTCTCTATATATTTGAGAAATGAAGCCTTTATCAGAGATACTTGCTGTAAAAAGTGTTTCCCAGCTTTCTGCTTTCCTTCTAATCTTGGTCGTATTGTGCAAAGTTTTTTTGTTTTTGCAAAATTTTTTAAACCTAATATAATCAAAATTATCCATTTTACATCTCATTCTGTGACTCTTGTTTGGTCATAAATTCTTCTCTTCTTCACAGATCCAACAGGTAAACTGTTCCTTGCTCTCCTAATTTGCTTATGGTATCATCCTTTATGTCTAAATCATGTATCTCTCACCTCTTAAAAACACAGTAATAATATCCATAGTTTCTGCAGAAAGGGATGTTGTGGGTGGTGTAACATTTCTACCCATAGTCAATGTTTAAATCTTTGCAACAAAACATTCTGAGAACATCAAATTCACATCAATAGTAAATGTAACACAATGAGGAATACCATTTGATAGACTGCTTCCTTGACTGTAAAAATATATACAAAACACAATACATTTAGATGTTGCAACAGTATGTGTATAATAAGATTGGAGATAACAATAGTCATGCAGACTTGTGTGGGGTGTGGTGAACTATTCTAGTCAACAACCAAACCAACCACTACTCTCTCTTATTGGCTCATTTCCTTATTCTCTACACAGGTTCTAAGATAATCAAGGGGTTTATTTCCAAATTTCCCCATAAATGGAATAGAGATGCACAATTTCTCTTAATAACCAATCAATTACCTACCAAATTTATAAATAATCAAAGAAACCTATTTTTCTCATAAGTTTTCATTCATCTCAAAATGAAACTTTATTCTCATGGCTTAGACACACATTGATGTTCTAGCTAAGCAATTTATGGACAGTATAATAAACAATAAAAAGACATATTTAAATATTTCAGCAATGTATCAGTTGAGAAAAATCATAGCCAGAGTTATCTCCAATAATAAACTGCAATTGCTTTGATCTCAACAGGCATCAGAACTATAGTTTTATCATTCAGTGCTCTCAGGGTGATAATCAAAAGCTCTCCAGAGTTCTCTTCAGAATATCTTCCTCACAGAATATCTTCATCACAGGATAAGAGTTAAACTCATTTCTTTCAAAATATCTCTTCGTTTTTCTCAAGGATGATGGTTAACTCAATGAGTTTTTCAGTAAAGAAATTTTCTTAGTCCTTTCTCTCTTGGCCATGACAGTTAACTTTCTCCGTATGACAATTAAAATGCTTCTCCCCAATATTCTATTCTCTTTCTCTTATAGATAGAGTAACAATATCAACATTTAATGAAGGGGGAAAATAACCCAATGTAACATTAGTGATAGTAATAATAATACAAAATATATACGTGTATATATATAATGTATATGTTATATAATGTGTAGTATAATAAATACATACATAAATTTTTTTATATTTCCCAACAAATATTTTATAAAATTGTATATCATACAAAAGCAACACTTAGCCACAAAGAAAACAGTCATTCCAGAACGTCAAGAGGGTCCATGGGACATATCTAAGTGAACTGATTTTAGGACTGTCCTTTGTCATAGAGCATTCAAATGGTGCTGACTCCTGTATTAGGGAAGGGAAAGGAATAAGCATTTATATAACATCTACTTTGTGCTAGGTACTATGTTATGCATTTTTACAAATATCTCATTTAATTCTTAACAACCCTCAGAGGTAGGTGCTATTATTATTCCCATTTTACAGCTGAGGAAACTAAGGCAGACAGAAATTAAGTAACTTGCCAGAATTACACAGCTTATAAATGTCTGAGGCTAGATTTGGACTCAGATCCTTCTGACTCCAGGATATCAGATGGAAAAGTAAGAGTTTTGCATCAAATGGGAGAACTGGTATAGTCTCCCATAGGGTGTCGCCCAGTGGTTTCAACCAGATATGACCAGGAGCCTGGCATTTCACCTTTATTCCTGTGGCCTCCATGGTTAGCATAGCCAGGCTACTTGGCCGTTTACCTCACTTTTTTCCTCTTGTATTTCAGCCCACACGCAACCCATACATAAACTTCTTCCTCCATTTGGCTTCATGGTGTAATGGAAGCCAACAAGACCAAGAGGATGTATGACATTTAAGGATATGAATTCAGCTCTTTATGTGCCTTGAACATAAGACCTGTTTAATAAATTTTGGTCAAGTTGAATGGGGCAATGACTTGACCAGAGCATTATATGACGAAAATGAATTTAGTGTGCAGAATGAATGCTTTTGGAAGATTAATCTAGTGTGCAGAATGGATTGGAGCAGGGAGGGAGTGATGGTGAGGAAGGGTCTTGAGTTCACAGAGACCAGTTAAAAAACTGTTGCAATGGTCCAAGTACAAAATAATAGGAGTCTGAACTGGAATGGTGTCAGCAGAACTGAAAGGAAGGGATGAATCTGAGAGACACTTTGAAGGAGAAATCAGTAAGACTTGGTGACTGACTGAAAATGGAGGGTGACAAAAAAGAGAAGTCAAAAATGTTTTCAAGGCTTGGTAACTTGATGAATGGTCGCACCATTAATAGAAACAGGTAAATTAGCAGAAAGAAATTGGGATTTTGAGGAGGGGGAGGGTCAAGATATGGTAACATGTTGAGTCTTTAATTTATTGGTGTCCAAAGAAGGGAAAGACAGTAGCAAAAGATGGTACCTGAGAGAGGACTTGCCATTCTGTTGTGTCTTATTAACATTAAGTAGAAGAAAATATCTGCTGTTTGGGAACCTGTGTCTGCTTCACCTAAGATTCACAATGGTTGTTTTCTCTTTACAGTTATCGGCAATGTGATCCCTCTGACCAAAAGGTGTATGGCAAGGCACCTCTCTTTGGACAGTTTTATGTCCTGGAAGATCCAGGAACAATCAAAGTGGGGGATCCAGTGTACCTCTTGGACCAGTGACAGCAGCATCATCTCTTTCTGTGGCATATCTCTTTTGTATATTTGCTGGGAAATAACCCCTTTTAAAAAGAGTTTTTGGCTATGAACATCCTTACAATCTCTTCTGATTTAAGTGTCTCAACCTTTTCTCTCTTAGGCCTCCTTGTGACTTCCGGTGTCCCAGAGCACCAAGAGAAGAAATGAGCCCTTCTTAATGCTGCTAAAACTTCTGAGAGTCACTCAAGTGATGTGATAAGACAGGCTTTTGATAATTCTTTTTTAAGTGGGAGTATTGGGGAGGGTGGATGAGGGTAGGTAATGGACAAGGAAAAGCCATCTCTTAGGGCTTTGCATTGAGGAGAGGAGAATGAGATACAGAAATCTCTTCTTCCTCACTCTACCCTCACATCACCACTACCCATAGGAGGACAGAAAAAGGAAAGGGAAAAGGTAGCAAGGTGAAAAGGAGGACAGAAAATACTTTGGAGGATATATTTTGTTGTTATTCAGTCATGGACAGCTCCTCATGACTTCATTTGGGGTTTTCTTGGCATTGCCATTTCCTTCTCCAGCTCATTTTACAAATGAAGAAACTGAGGTAAACGGCGACTTGCCCAGGGTCACATGGCTAGTAAGCATCTGAAGTCAGATTTGAACTCAGGAAGATGAGTCTTCCTGACTCCAGGCCCAGTCCTCTATCCACAACAGCACCTAGTTTAAATCCCTATTTGGGAATAGTTGAATAACAATTAAGTCACCCCCAAAGAGACACTGAAATTCCTCCTTATCTCCTTTAGAAAGCCAATATGACACAATAGAGTAGTGGACTTGTACTCAGGAAAGCCCGAGTTCAGATCCTGCTTCTGACATTTACATAGCTGTGTGACCATGGGTAAGTCAATGAACCTTTCTGAGCCTCAGTTTCCTCCTTGTAAAATGGGGATAATAATGTCTAGAGTACCTACCTCATGAAATTGTTGTGAGGCTCAAATATGTAAAGCACTTTGGAAACCTCAAAGTGTCATGTAACTGTTTTATTATTATTATCTCATTCCATGATTTGGGGCTTTTAAAAAGGTACAAATTGGCTGTCCCTACATGGGCCTGGCACAATTGGCTTCTCAGATAGAGTTGGTTAGGATTTAAATGATATATCCTTGCCTTGATGTATTCTGCCATCTCTGGACTAGATGACAACAGCACGACAATCAGATAAAAGTCACCAGCTATCAAATTGTCCTAAAATTCAGGACAAATTATCAAGTGTGTTTAGATGTATAATTTCAAAACTTTAATTGCTTTTAAGTTGTATCACTTCTTGATCAGTGCCCAGAGGAATGAGAATGTCCTAAGCTTTTTGTGTACTTGATAAATGGTGAACCTTTTGGGAATGGCAGGTGAGCTCAGGATGTCTAAGGGCCTACAAGACCGTCCATGTGTGATTTTGGTCATTCTGTCCTTGGAGAATTGACAAAAGAGAGAAGTGACGGCTCAGGATTTTACTTTAGAATGCTACCTGCTGTGGACATGTTGAATTTCAATCTAACCTGCTAAAGTCGATCTAAATCAATGTCATAAATACATAGATAAGTCTGTAACCAAATTCCACAGGCTCTTTTCTTAAGCCCACCAGTTGTGTAGCTGTGGGAGGTCTTGTCACCAGATCTGCCATGTTACAAATTTAATATTAAAAGTCTCTGGAGTCTGTAAGACAGAAATAGAAATGTGGTAATGTGATTTTAAAGTGAGCAGCTACTGAAGAAACTTTTCAATGAAGCAAGAAGAGACCTTGTTACTTTGTTTATAAACAGAGATGTCTAATTTTTCTACTGATCGAATTACAATTCTTCGAACCTAATTAAAATTTTAAAATATTTTAAAACCACAAATAAATGGAAATGATTTCCATTGTTAAAACTTCCACCTCCTCCCCTCCTTCCTTCAGCTTCCTGGCAAGAAAGCTAACCTTGTCGACTGTTTAAATAACAATTTGATTCAATTCATCAATCATTTATTAAATAGCTGCTCTGTGCAGGACACTATGCTAGGCCAGGGCCTGATAATAAAAAGATGACAATAGAACAATCTCTGCCCTCAGTGGCATTACATTCTAGGCTCAGATGAGATCATATATGTAAAGCACTTTGTAAACCTTAAAGTGCTATTACATAAAGAAAAAATGTCAAATATCATCATCACTATTAGACTCTGCCATATAATTAGATCTGCTATCTCATAGGAAGTGGGCAAAAAAAGTTTTATGTTTTTTAAAGTAGGCAGTGCCTACTTTAGCTGTTGTCATTTTACTGTGACTACAATAAAAAAAGTGATCAATAAAAAGTGACCAATAAGGAATGGACTTTTCAACTCTGAAGTGGAGCTATAGGAGAGTCTGGGAGAAGTACAAAGGTCCCCTGTGCTATATGTGTTGCTATTGGATTTCTATACATTAGTCGTAAAGTGGAAAATTAAGGCAATTATCCAGAACATTTTGTTCTAGACCTTTACTTTTGCCTGAAATGTCTGAATAATTAAAACAAATGTTTTGTTTATCTGAAAAATTGTCTCCATTCCTTGTTGGATTTAGATGCATAGACCATAGGCCTGGTATCTTTCTCCTTATGACAATGGGTAATAGGAATGGTCATAGCTGGTATTCACATACTGACTTAAGGTCTCAAAGCTCTTTATATTTGTTAATTCATGATCCCCATGTATTCTACAAAAGTAATTTTTACCAAGCATATTTCTAAAAGATTCTTCTAGAATTTAGAATTTTTCCAAAGCAGTGTTCATGACTTTTTCCTGTGTGTAGAAGTAATTTACATCAATATCCAAGGCTAAGCAGCTGGCTATGGGGTTTGCACCCATCCTATCCATCCACCCAACTGCAAACAGTCCACTGGAAGAGATCCCTTTCCTAGCATAAGGCAGATGAATGTTCCTTTTATTCGACCCTTGATGATGTAGATAAAAGCTGTTGTTTCTAGATCTTTTAGTATGGATGCCCATAGGTGCCACTTAGTTCAGCTAGGCTCTGTATACTAACGACGCAGGTTACTAGACACAGGGACAATGCTTATAGTGAGGCACTGCTGAGATTGTCACTGTGACAGTTTACATAAACACAATACCGATTTGTCTCAGGGCAGCTAGCTGGTGTAGGGAATAGAGTGATAGACCTGGAGTCAAAAGGAGCTAAGTTTGGATCCATTCCAGACACTCACTGACTGAGTGACCCTGGGCCAGTCACTTAGCCTCCTTTAGTCTCAGTATCCTCATCTGCAACATGAGAGATATTAACAGCACCTTTCTTACAAGGTTGTTGGAAGGTTCAGGTGAGATAATATATTTAAAGCTCTTTCCATACCTGAAGGCACTATATGAATGCTAATTATGATCATTATCATTCTCAGTGTTCTACAGTGTGTGTGTGTGTGTGTGTGTGTGTATGAATGGATGTCTGGCTATGTTCCTGATACCTACATAGATATGCTGTGGACTGAAAACTGAAAAGCATGGCAAGGAGTTTGGGGGTGGAGGGCTAGGGCCTGAGAGGACTTTTAAAAACACTGTTCCATTTGTAGATATCAGTACATCTTTTCAGGAGACCTGGGTATTTCCCTGGGAAGAAGGAGTGACAATGACTAGAGGCATTAGCAGTGGAAAAAGCTCCCCTTAAATAAGGACTGGAGAAGAAAAGTACTGACCATGATTTAAAAAAAAAGGAAAAGGAGGGGGGGAAAGTGACTGTAGGAAGCCAAACACTTCCCTTATTCAGGAAAAGAAAATGATTTTTAATAATTGTTGTGTATATTTATGAGATAAAATATTAGGCCAATTGAAAACATGGTTTTTTTTAAAGCACTATTACCTAATTCACTAAACATTTCTAGTTTTTTATCTTAATTTGTTTTTTCCCCTAATTTTAGCCTTATATGTATGTGATGTTCTAATTTAAATTAAGCTATCCTCAAAAGTATTTATATTATAAAGGAATTATCTCCTTTCCTCAAAACTGTTCTATACATTTAGTGAATTTATTGAAGAAAACATAAGCTCAGATTCCCTTTACCTGAACATAATGCTCCCCTAGATCAATCAGAGTTAACCTATGACATTGTTGTCAATGTCAGTCTTGATTTCTCATGTAGAATTATGGGAACCCAGTTGCATATTGTATACAAACAATGTATGTGTTTATATACATGCATATACAGATGTGGAAAGCATGCAAACCTCTTCTCCTTCCTGGCAAATTGAGGAGAGAGAATTTGTTTCAAGCAAGATCACAAGGGCTAGTTCATAGTTGTTCCCAAGGATCTTATCAGGAGTGTTTGTATGCCTTTAGCTCTGGTCCCCCTACTGTTCTGGAACCAGACATCATTTATATTCCTCTCTGTCACTTCATGGAACCTACTGAAGTCAAAGTTAATATTTTCTACTCCTTTTACAAGGCCTTAGCATAAAGACCTTCTATTGTCTGAGTGGGATATATCTACTGAACTGCAGAAGGTAGGGAAGTAGTAATAACACTGTGCCAACCAACCAACATCAAAGTGACAGATTGTGATTAGGCTTTGTGATTCTGGATCCTTGCTTTTACAGCTGGATGGCAGAGTCATAGCTAGGAATTTTGTGCCTGGAGCCAGTGGTATGAAAGCTGTCTTCAGTTGGAAGGAGGGGCAAATACCACCCAATGGGGGAAGAGAGAACCCAAGAGGCCAAAAGGCTATCCTGGGAGAAGAAGGACAGTATCTGATAGAATCCCAATTAAACTAATTATTCTTGATAGCTAGGTGCTAAGGTCAGATTTTTTTTTTCCACACTTGACATCCAAGGAGACTGATTATAGAGAAATAGGGGTGGAGTAGTAACCCATACAGAAATCTAATAGATTCTTCTAAGGTGGAGGCTAAAAGAGGACTTGAAACCAAATCCTCTCTCCCCAAATCCTCAACATTTCATGACAATATTAGACCTGTAATAATTTTAATTGGTAAATTATAATTGAATCATTTAGTCCAACTGCCTAGAAACATAGGATCATAGATTTAGAACTCAAAGGGCCTTCAGAAGCAATCTATTCCAACCTCGTTTTATAGATAAGGAAATTGAGACTAAAAGAGGTTGAATCACTTGCCCTAGAAGATATGGCTGGTAAGTGAGAGAGGGGGGATTCAAATGCAGATTTTCCTTACTCCAAGTCCAGTATTCTATTTATTACACCATACCACTTTCACTTGGTTTTAAAGAGAAGGGAACTGAGGTACTACATAAGGGAAGTGACTTCCCTAAGGTCACAGAGCATGGCTTGTTCAATTCTTACTGAAATTGAGGCTGAGCTGAGGTGGAGTCAAAAGGAGTCCAAATCTCAAAGACTGTTAGAATTGGAACAAGCCTGAGAGACTACTGTGTCCAGCTCCTTCATTTTCATAGAAAATGAAACCGATGCCCATAGTTAATGTTAGAACAGAGACTAGAATCCAGGTTTCCCAAGTCTTCCTTGAAGTAATATTTTAGTCAGGTTGTTGAAATTTGGCCAAGGCTCACTTAGGGGTGCCGGT